CCACAAACGATGCCCACCTCTAACTGTAGGCCCAGCCTGTAACAATACCCTGGAGTATTCGCTTTAACAAATTATTCTGCAAATATACTTTCATTAAAACTTTCACAAACATTTCAGACTAAACATAGAAAAACAACTTGACGAATTTTTTATTTCAAAATTTTTTATGGTTTAGTGAAAATGTTTATTGATTTTTTTCCTCAGAAAGCTGATTCAACATTTAATTAAAAAATTTTATAGAGAGATATATTCCTAAAAGTTTAATACAAGTAATGAATATTTAATTTTCATAAGGAAAACGAAAAAATAAACCCGAGATAGAATATTTATTTACAATTGTGCCCAATCCGTATCCCCTGTATTACATAATATGAGCAATCTTTTATACATGTGCATAACTTAAAGGAGCTGTAGGAATGACTTGCAAATTTCCTGCTTCAAACACATCGTCAGGAAATATGTGAGATGGTGAAAAATTAACACTTTTCAAGCTAGATAAACGATGATATCTTACACATTATCTAGCAGATAACAAGCATCGAATTTCCCTTTAATAATCTTAAACTTAATTATCAAAAGATGACCCACAAAAATTCTTTGTTATACCAAAATATAACATCATTAAAATTAGATAAAAAATCTTATCCACTTGGTGCTGGGGTAACTCATCATCTTGGGAATGCCCTCACATATTTTCAGTACTTAAACTCAGTTCTATGGATAGCAGATTATTTTGAGAAAAACAGAAAACTAATCTCTATGCTAGAATTCCAAGATAACCCACTTCAAAGCGTTTCCTACTTTTGAAAGCAATATAAAAGAAAATGATAAAAAATGAAGGTCTTTATCATTCCTTCTTGTACTCGAAACTAGATTAATGTTTCTGTTGGTTTCACTTTTTTAACGGATAAATCGTAACATTTTTAGGAGCGGAAGAACCGCTAGGCGATTTTTTTTAAGTTTGCACTCAAAAAAATTAATTATTTATTACTTTTTAGTATAGACACAAGGAAGTGGTAAAATTTCTAGTATGACTAAGAAGCACTTCTAGCATTGATTTTACACCTGGAGGAGACCATATTGACTTCTGTTAATGGCCCTATGGTGCACATTGTACAATATTGTTAAAGTACGCCACATGAAGCGCTAGAAAAAGTAAGAATCCAATTTTCTGATTTAATGACTCGGGCTGCCTGTTTACTAAAAAATATTTCTCATCGCCCAAAGTAATATCTATCTCCATTTAAAAGATGTTTTCAACTTCCCCAGTCACAACTTCCCAGAGACATCTTCCCCAACAGCAATTTCCCCAACAACCAATTTCCCCAACACTAACTTCCCCAGTCACTAACTTTCCCTACAGCAACTTCTCCAACAACAATTTCCCCATGCTGTAAAACAGCAACTTCCCCAACACCAATTTCCCCATGCAGTAAAATATCAAATATTTCCGTTTTTAACATTACTCCAGTGAACAAATGCGCAATTTTAAAATAAAAAAATGCGCAAATTTTTGAATGTGAAAAAAATCAGTTGGATTAGAGTCGACAATGTTGGCAGTTCATACAAGAAGAGAAATGTTCTGGTGGATCCCAATAAGTATGAGTACAACCTACAATCAATGTGTGGAGAAAAGAAAACATTCAAAATGTGTAGCAACAGCCGTTGGGAAGTGAAGTTGCTGTTGGGGAAATTAAGAATTTTTCTGCATGGGGAAGTTGCTGTTGGGGAAATTAGTGACTGGGGAAGTTAGTGTTGGGAAATTAGCGGTTGGGGAAGTTGCTGTTGGGGAAATTAGTGACTGGGGAAGTTAGTGTAAGGGAAATTAGCGGCTGGGGAAGTTGCTGTTGGGGAAGCTGTGACTGGGGAAATTGTGTTGGGGAAGTTGCGCTGGGGAAATGACCTAACACCTTTTCAATAAACCTTTAGTTTATAGATTTTTGTATTCGCCTACTCGAGTTCAACATCTAAACAAAACTAATTACATGGAAAGAAAGAACAAAAAAATTGGAAAAATTGGAAAAAGTGAAAATGAATTTATAAGCTCACTAATTATTTCTAGCGCTAATTGAAAAGCGCGCATGCGCAAAGGTTCAAAAACGTAATTTTATTTCTACCGCTTCATGTGACATATTTATAGCTTTATTTTCGAAACTGAGGAGCAATAATGAAAGCTTTAAGAATATTGTACACCATGGCCATTAACAGAGGTCAATATGGTCTTATTTCTAAGAAATAAACGGTTTAATGTTAACCTTTTTATTCATGATTACCAATTGAGGATTGCGCATGCCGCAAAACACTTTTGGGTGGCGTTAGTTTACTTCTTCACTCCCCCCCCCCTCCTTCCTGGAGACAACCACTATTAGAAATTCAAATAATTTGGTCTTCTCAAAAGCTCAGTACATAATAATTTACATTAATTTGGAGTTACATCATCAGTCTAAAATTAATTTCTATTCTACAATATTGTTCCAAGGTTTTTTTTTCTTCATTTTATCTTTATCTAATTAGTTTAAAATGAGGTGTTAACTTTTGTTTTAATTAGAAAATGTTCAAGTCTTTGAATTAGTTTCTTTGTTAACTAAACGTTGATCACAGAATTTCCAAATTAGGAAATAATAGCAGAATAAAAACAAACCATGTATATTTATAACATAAAATTGCGATGTATGTACTAAGCATGTTTGTAAATCTTGTATTCTCACAATTAATAATTGCATCAATCAAAGGAGTATATAAAAATGGGGGGGGAGGAGGGGGGCTATTGGGACTCAACCCAACTGGATCAGTAATATCTATGGTTTCCAGGTATCATATCGTTTAAAATTCTTTCGATAAATTTTTTACTGATATAAGCGATTTTCTTAGCAAAAATTACTCATTTCAAAACCAATTATGAAATGAAAACGTTATTCTCTAATCAATACTTTTTCATTAACCGGATCTTATCCATATCCTCTTGATTTATCCGCTAAACCTTTTGCAGCATCTCTACAATAAAGTCCTTTTATACGACAGCAATAAATCTTGTTTGCAAACCAATAAAGGGAAGAGGAGACTTCCTTGCTAATACAGTTAAACTAATTGGGAGGATAGCTTACATACAATAATAACCCCTATTTAGGAATGTTGTACGAAGTAAATATAGCGCTAGAGGGTGATAACTGATAACACTTATATCTGACAGTTATTTTTTAACTAGATTTATTGTCTAGTAATAACAGACAGTTAAAGGGACTGTAAGCGTAATTTCAAGGGATTCAATATGCAAAAATGAAAACGCCCTTTAAACCTTTATCTGATCAATAATGTAGATGGTAAAAGATATGGTTGTTTTTCTAGCTTTTAAAGTGTTAAATTCTGATAATTCTGATATATTTTCCTACAGTAGAAATGCGCAAATCACATTTGTTGAGACACCACATTTAGAATAATCAGTGTTATAAATGATTATCATAGATATCTAATATATACGTGACTTAACAACAGTTTTAAGGGTAAGTCAATCAGGCTTTGCCGTCTTAACAATCTCTTGAAATTACGTTAGCAGATGTAGCTAGCTTTAACTATATATTTCCCAAACCTGGCCCTCCTCGATCTCCTGCTTATGAATACGAAACCTTGTTTACAAATCTAATTTACAATTAATACCCTTCAGTAAGTTAATACCCACTATCTCACTTTTTATCCCTATAAACTCTCTTTGTATTTTCGTTTCAAATTAATAAAATCAATATTTAAAGCAAACACGTTTATTTCTGATTTGGTTCTTTTGCCTAGTTTATTTAAATTTCTATTGTCTTAAAAAAAAAAACATTTGTTTGAGTACTTTAGTGATTTGGAAAATATTACTTTTTAAAATGCTGTTTCTTAATTTGAACAAAACAACATTTTATGGAAAACACATATGACAATAACACTTCAGGAGAGTTGAAAATACAATACAACCTTGAATGTATCTTAAAATAACACTTTTTTACAACTAACATCGACGAATTTCCAAACTCCAAACATAAAAAAATTGTTATGAAAATGATTTTTCGCAGATTATCAAACTTTTTATATTGATATTTCTGATGTCATAAAAAATTGGTTCAAATTAGCAGGTTTACACCGTACACCGCCACCCTGTGACCCTAAATAATAGGCTGTGAAGAGAATGAAACAGACTTGGAACAAACTTCTCTCAATGCAGATAAATAAATATTTTAAACATATAGTTCTAAAACTTCCCAGCTTATACTGGAAATCTTATTAATAATCCAGAGACTGGATGACCTACAATCTTCAATGGAAACTTCTAATTTCTAAAAGGTTACTAGCTGAAGTGCCCGGCGTGTCCCATTGAATTAAAAAAATACTTTTTTTCAAGTTTTGAATAATATTTTTTTTGTCTATATGTTTACCATAGGGTAACCTTGGGTTGCCAATTTGGTCCAGCCGTTTGGGCAGCTTCAGCTAAAATATATATATTATAGAAGGCCTTAATTATTTAAATAAACATTATCAAACTGTAAAAAACTCTTTAAGGAATTCACAAAAATTGGTAGATTGGTAGATGGGTAAAAATATTGTTCAGCTACAAAACCTTGACAGTTACTTAGGGACTAAGGGAACTTGACAATAGTATCTGATTGGTCAGGGACCAAATTCAATAAACTTGAACTGCCTACCTCCGGTATAGATTGAATCACCAATTTAAATCCTTGCTTACACATTTAAACTTTGAATGAGTGGTTCAAACAGTTAGTTTAGATTAAGCCCCTATTATAAAGAAACAAGGTTAGCTTGTACATATACTTTCTTTGTCCTATGGCATACTGTATAAATCCATACTTATTTCTATGCCACTATTTATCCATTTTTACAACCTTCAGGTTCTTGGATTTTTGGAGTTAGGGGGAAAAATATGTGGAAACAATGGTTTGTCATAATTTTTCAAAGGAAGAATTTTTTCTAAGATTATAAAAATCTAAAATGTCTTACTTTCTATTTTCTTGCAGCCATTACTTGGTTTCTTTTCCTCCCAATCTGTACAGGTTGTGTAGGGCCAGTGTTGGGTTAGAATCAAAATATCAAAATGAGTGTCCTGCAAAATTAAGTAATTACGTGAATAGTACGTAAATATAACGTAACGTAAATATAACATATATTTAACGTATAACGAAAATACAACGTATATTTAAAGTAAATATAACGTTAATTGTATCTTGAACATGAAGTAGACCAAGATTTAAACAACAATTATTAATGTTATTCATTAAAATTTAACTTACAGTCAATGTTTATGTAACGTTGAGTTCCAGGGTTACAAAATATTAACAATAGAATTGTAATGACGTAATATAAACAAAATGTAAATTATAAAGTCCACAATAGCATGTCATATCTATATTTATTAAGTAAAAATCACTGTTTGTCTGTCTATTTGTTTAGATGTCTGATCATAACTCAGAAACCCCTAGACTGAACTGTCACAAATTTTGATAGGGGAAAAAGTAGAACCATGAGAATTTTCTTAGCTAGGTTTAAAAATTCGACCTCTTCAAGAGAAAATTTAGTTTTTAGGCAAGGCGGGGTTCAAGAGCTAGTTTTATTAAAATTACGACTTATCAATCATAGGCAATGAGCATAATCAATCAATCAATCAATCACACTTCTAGAAACACCCTTGCATGAGCTTAATTTGCTTATCTTACACTTTTCCTTTCTCCAAATAAATATTAAATATACGCTGCATTGAGCAAAATTTCGATTTACAAAATGGATTATCTTATACAGCTATAAATTTTCCTGCACTAATATAACAGAACTAGCAGAAGCTTTTGTCAAGAAAGAATCACTAAACTTTTAAACTCCTTTTATCTTTGCAACCGAATGGTGTAAACCCTTGATATTTCAAACTTTTAAAACAAACTGAATTAATAGTTTTAAATATTTTACTGGCCTTAAAACCAGGTTGCAACGATAAATGGATTATACAATTAAATATTGGTCGAGTATTCAGTTCCTTTAAGTTAAACAAAAAACTAACAAATTTATAAAAAGTTATTTTTCTTTTGAAGGGATTATTCCATTACCTTACTGTATGATGGGAAGGGGTAGAGGAGTGCCAAGATAAATTCAACCCTCATTTTCCTCTGTAACAAATATAATAATAATAATTTAGTTAAATGATTTTTAATTATTCAATCAAATAGAATCGTACAAAATCTTTTATAAATGTAAAAACAAAACAATTTTGAATAATTTTGGCAAGAGGCAATGGCAATATTTAAATACATAAATCAGGGAGAAGAGCTTTATCAATTTATAAAATTATTTATTTTTATGAAATGCCTATTTATTCAGCTAAGTTTGAGTTTACAATTTTATTTAACATGGATATTCATGAATAATAAATTTAAAACTTAAAACCAATCACTGAAGTAAAAGTTGCAAACTTTAAAACTTCTTAACTATATGAATAATTTTTAAATATTTTTACACATTTCCATTTTTATCTAAGAATTGGTAAAAGCTAAATCTACATTAATAATAATAATAGTGGTGTTTGAAAAAAGGAGAATTATTACTATTTTAGATAAAATCATTTCATACTTTTTTAATTAAATCCAATCAAACTGTTGTGGTTATCTGTATAAAGAACTCAATTGGCTTTCTTGCTAATAAAATTTTCTTGGAAAAAATTCCTAACATGATTTTTAAGTTTCATGAGAAGGAGAATATTTACAAGATCCAATAGTTTTTTCATTACATCTTAAGGCTAAAAGATTTTTCACTCGCTTTGCAAGATATATTTTTTAAAATCTTCTGATTACTCAATCAACAATGTACTCCCTATACTAACTCATTAAAAATGCTTTCTCTGTTTCCTTTGATAAGAATGAAGCGAGTACAACTAATAATAACTTCTATTATTAAACACAAAATCTAAACAATTACACATTAGTTTTTAATGTAAAATAAAATAATTGCAAAAAAATGTAATAGTTTGAATTGAAAGTTTGTAAAACAGTTTCATTTCTCAACAGATAAACAACCGTTAGTAAACAGTCATTTCACACTAAACTTAACGTACGTATAATGTTTGCAATTGTTTTGATAAGAAACGTCATTAACAGATCTTATACGTCACATTAAACGTGCACAAAATTCTATCCACACCAACCTCAGTTCTTCAAACATTAATATAAGTTGTGTTTCCGAGTTTGATAAAAAGATTAGATTAAATATTGTATTTGTGAAAGCTGAGCTAGTCCCCAGTTTACAAAACATTAATTCTAAGCACAATAAGGGGACCCCTAGCACAATGGGGGGGAGGATTAAACCCCCTCCCCCAAAGCAAAATACAGGGATAAAATCCCAACTCTCTCTGTAACAATCCCATTGACTAAATTTCTTCGGATTCTAGATCGTTTTCTTTAGAAATTGCACTCTTTTAGTATAAAATTATTGCTATTAGACTTTCTCCGTTACTATTATCATTAAAAGGGAAAGTGATTCTACCGTTAAACTTGTCAGTTCAATACCCATAGCACTTTTTTGTTAAAACAAACTTCTAGAAATACTACTACACAAAATATGTGTTTACATTTATTTACGCAATACTTATTGCTTTTTTAAACCGTCTCAAATCCAAATACCTTTAACATTGAACTAAAAAAAAGGTTTAAAATGAAACGTAGACTTCAGAGGAATGAATCTTCACGCCAAATAAAATTTCGGTTAATCTGTAAAAAAATGTGATATATAGTATAAAATGAGCATTTACAAAACATTTTGTTCAAGATGGACTGTATGTTTATGTTGTACATTATACAATGTAATACTGAATTATATGACACTTGACATTTTCCCTAGACCACAAATAGTATAATCTAGGGGGAATTTTGAGCTGAAAGTAGGTAATAAATTCTAAATGGATCTCCCGGAGGCAACTAGGGATCATATTTAAAAAGCTTGACACTGGTTTTTAGTTAGTCCTTATTTTTACTTTGATCGGAACTTTTAAAAACCAATAATCCGCTTCTTTTATAATTCGACAAACGAGATATCACAGATCACTTCACCCCATCACAATAATTGTTAGCAATGGGTATTACAAGATCAATCATCGTGAATTATTTTCTTAAAAAATCCCAAGCTCTGTGATCGAAACATTTTTTTAATGCGAAAAAAAGTTTAATGGAAAATGTCCGAAGCAATCTCATACAGGACAAACAAATCTAATGTACTCGAGATTAAAAATGTCTACGTCAACTTGTAAATGATAAAATTTTGGTCTAATTATATAAAACTATTAGCAGACTGTAAAGTCCCAGAGTTTCACCGTCTTGTCGTAGCTTCCTGAAACAATAATAAGGTTATTTCAAATATTTTTTATTTGCATTAAGTTGATTTCTTCCCACTTATTGTACGAGTTTTAAATTTATGTATTGTTTTGTATTGAATTGTAATCAGAATGCTCCATTCGCGGTATTGTTAAAAATTTTTATTTCTACCTGTGTATATTATTATATAATTATTATATGAATAAAATGTTATAAGAAGATTGTTGTGTTTCAAGTGATATGTGTATATTATTATATAATTATTATATGAATAAAATGTTATAAGAAGATTGTTGTGTTTCAAGTGATATGTGTATATTATTATATTTTTTACATTTCTTATTCCAAATCCTTAACATGATTCTGTTAAAATCAGTGCTTAGGATCCGGATCCGTTGGATCCGCAATATTTTTGCTTCCTGGATCCGGATCCGCAAAAATATGCGAATCCAAGGGGTAAAATATCAACCAAAAAATGCAAAAAAAACCTTTTTTACTCTTAAACCCCAATTCTGAACTTTTTAAAAAAGAGATTATTGTTTATAAAAACAAGCGAAAAAAATAAAACAAAAAAAATTGAAAATTATTTTTTGTTAAAAAAATTCAGTAAATCTTAAAGAAATGACCTGGATCCGGATCCATTTTTTTCCAGTGTAGATCCGGATCCTAAGCACTGGTTAAAATGATATAAGGTGTTTGGATTTCTTGACTGAAAAACATGCTTTTTTTGTGTTAAACTCAGTACTGCTAATTTACCGAACTTCTGTGCATATTGTGTCAAATAAGCTTTAAATTATCTATTATCGTCTCAATTTAATTGATAAAGAATCATATGGTTTTGCAGTTGTTTTGATAACTACTAAAATTCTAAAGATAACTTAAGATAACGTGTGTGGAGTTGTGAACTGTGGAAAAGAAAGATGAGATAACATATATCAAATTAAAAATGATAAGGCAACAAACAGGGTGGTCGGGCTTAACAGGGGGGNAATGGGTAATAGTGACGAACGGGTGCTAAAAATATAGAACTGCGAAACTGATAGTAAGCATGTGACAGATTGACTACATGGAATAAAAAAATTACATTTTATTAGAAAAGAAAATATAATTGGAATATTTAGGATGATTCTACCTGAAACTATATAAAAGTCGTTGAATTGTAAACATGTTACTCCATCAGAGTGTGACTTCAGAGTTACCAATCTTCGGCCTGTGTTCAGGTCCCAAACCTAGTGTACATGATGTTTAGTACAGTACATAGTTTTCAAGTCCCAGACCTAGTGTGCATAATGTTTAGTACAGTACATAGTTTTCAAGTCCCAGACCTAGTGTGCATAATGTTTAGTACAGTATAGTTTTCAAGTCCCAGACCTAGTGTGCATAATGTTTAGTACAGTACATAGTTTTCAAGTCCCAGACCTAGTGTGCATAATGTTTAGTACAGTACCTAGTTTTCAAGTCCCAGACCTAGTGTACATAATGTTTAGTACAGTACATGGTTTTCAAGTCCCAGACCTAGTGTACATAATGTTTAGTACAGTACATAGTTTTCAAGTCCCAGACCTAGTGAACATAATGTTTAGTACAGTACATAGTTTTCAAGTCCCAGACCTAGTGTACATAATGTTTAGTACAGTATATAATGTTCATGTCTCATACATAGTGTACATAAGATTTTGTTCGGTACGAAGTTTTCAGGACCCAGACCTAGTATACATAGGGTTTAGTTTAGTACAGAGTATTCAGCTCCCAGACCTTGTTTACATAGGGTTTAGTTTAGTACAGAGTGTTCAGCTCCCTGACCTAGTGTACATAGGGTTTAGTTTAGTACAGAGTGTTCAGCTCCCAGACCTTGTGTATATAGGGTTTAATTTAGTACAGAGTGTTCAGCTCCCGGACCTTGTGTAGATAGGGTTTAGTTTAGTACAGAGTGTTCAGCTCCCAGACCTAGTGTACAAAGGGTTTAGTTTAGTACTGAGTGTTCAGCTCTCGGACCTAGTGTACATAGGGTTTACTTTAGTACTGAGTGTTCAGCTCTCGGACCTAGTGTACATAGGGTTTAGTTTAGTACTGAGTGTTCAGCTCCCTGACCTTGTGTACATAGGGTTTAGTTTAGTACAGAGTGTTCAGCTCCTTGACCTAGTGTACATAGGGTTTAGTTTAGTACAGTGTTCAGCTCCCTGACCTTGTGTACATAGGGTTTAGTTTAGTACTGAGTGTTCAGCTCTCGGACCTAGTGTACATAGGGTTTAGTTTAGTACTGAGTGTTCAGCTCTCTGACCTAGTGTACATAGGGTTTAGTTAAGTTCAGAGTGTTCAGGTGACAGACCCTGTATACAAAGGGTTTAGTTCAGTACAGAGTGTTTAGGTGACAGACCTTGTGTACATAGGGTTTAGTTTAGTACACAGTGTTCAGGTGACAGACCTTGTTTACATATGGTTTAGTACAGAGTGTTCAGGTGACAGACCTTGTGTACATAGTGTTCTGTGCAGTACACAGTGTTAACTAAGAATTATATTGGATTAACTAATCTAAGTTCAAAATTATCAAAGAGTTGCACCATCAGGTTGCAAACATATTGGGATTGTAAAATTTAAATTTGTTACAAAGAATTAATGTCTTTAAAAATCAAATAAATTAAATATACCTTAATTGTTTTATCGTCGGCAGCCGATATTATTCTCCATTCGTCCGCCTGAAGGCATCTTAAAACAGGACATTAATAATAAACACAAAATAAACAAATCTACATGTCAAATCTTATGCTTACATATTTATTGAATTGACATTATTTAATCAAAGGTGAGAACTCTTGTATTAGGGAAATAGAGAAGATCAATACTTGATCCCAATCTAGTGTTAATCTGCAGATTAATTTATTCCATTTAATATTGTTTCGCATCTACCTGATGCAATAAAGACCAGTTTATCACCCCTGTGCAACCGCCTTATTTACCCCTGAATTTGATGTTTGTCTCAAGAAGAAAGAAGTTTCCAGAAAACGCGTACTTTCTAGTTTGTATATTATAACCCTTTGAGTTTGTACCGCGGCCAGCTTTTTATCAGCATTGTTAAAGATTTCGTAGTTGACGGACTGTATATTGTCTTTACGTTGATTATTTACTGTGAAGTGTTTCGAGGACCAATGTGGTGAGTTATCCTCATATACATTATTTATATTATATCGATATTTACTTCAAATATTATATTCTTATGCTGCAGTTTTTAAATGCCGAAGTAAAAAAGTTGTTTGTCTTTAAGTAAAATATGATAAACGTTGGTTTACTAAAGCTTTTTCTGTAGCCCAGTACTTTTTTCGATCTATATATTGTCATTTTTGATAGATTGAACTGCGTAATAAAACTTGAAGACTGATCCTGACTTTATTATGGAGAGATCTAAGAGCAGAGCAGCTTACGGTCAAATCCGGAGAAACACCACACGGTATACATATACTCAAATCTAGGGCAACTGGGTTGTTGCGAAACAAATATCCCGCAATGTAATTGTATCCTGAAGGGATAACTGAAATGAAGAGATTAAGCATTGATGCTCAAATTTGAAGTGCCCACAGTTGATATCGAGATGATGAGTATTTAACACAAAAGTTCCCAGTTCATGTGGGATTTAAGCCTTAGGTTGTAATGGATTATATAAATAATTCCCTTGTCTTATCTCATCTAATTCTATTTTCTAAAATTTACATTTTCTTCCTAAAACAGAGTCTGCTCTAACTTTTTATTTAACTGTAAAGAATGAGGGGGGGGGGGGGCGCGTAAACTTTACCCGTATACTAGTCCAGAAACCCAACATTGTCTAGAAACTAAGTTTTTTCCTACAAACGTCGACCTTCTCAACTTACAAATTTTAAATCAAGCTGAGAACATAAGACCGTAGTTTCCCCATCAAAATTTGATAGATTACTACTTTATATATTTATCTATGTATATGCTGACGTTTTAACGGACAAAACACTACTACTACTAAGTTTTAAAATCTTGAGTTTAACATGATAATCACAGAAAATTGATAGGAGATATAATAAACATCACTCTAAAACCAAACCGTAATCGTTGAATGCATTTTCCGGAGAGTAATGACGAAAGACAAACGTTTAACGCAACATTTAAATAGCACATCGGCGACGATCTTCGAAAACGTTTAGCTGTACAGATCAGACGTTACAAAAGCTTTATACTTGCTTTTATTAACTGTCAACATAATATATGTTAAGTATATTTAAAAAGTTCTAAGGGTTTAAATTTACCTGATAACTCCAGTATGCCCCTCACTAGACATCCAGTCCAGGGTTCTTAAACAGTCCAAGGAGGAGATAGACCAGACCTTGATAGTTCTACACAAACAACCATATTTAAACTAGAGATATATACCAGACCTTGATAGTTCTATTTAAACTAGAGATATATACCAGACCTTGATAGTTCTGCACAAACAACCAGATTTAAACTAGAGATATATACCAGACCTTGATAGTTCTACACAAACAACCAGATTTAAACTAGAGATATATACCAGACCTTGATAGTTCTACACAAACAACCATATTTAAACTAGAGATATATATACCAGACCTTGATAGTTCTACACAAATAACAAGATTTAAACTAGAGATATATACCAGACCTTGATAGTTCTACACAAACAACCAGATTTAAACTAGAGATATATATACCAGACCTTGATAGTTCTACACAAACAACCAGATTTATACATGACTATGGTAGTTGTTGGATCAATAAAAACATTTTCCAAAAATTAAGAAAAACAAATTTTTTATAAATTATCACAACCCCTCCCCCCATTTAGACTAAGACTGAGGTTTGAAGAGTAATGTTGTTAATGATCGGACATACATATCACATAGTGTATACTCTTTTAAAAGAGACTAACTTTAATTTATTTCAATAGTCCTTTAAAGTTAAAAATTGAAACTTAATCTTTTATTCAAGTCTCAGTTTAACAAGTCATATAGTTTAATGCATATTTTCTTTTCTAGGTCTTTAAATATTGACAAAACTTTAATAGTTCCAAGCTTAAACCAGATTGAAACGAAAAAAATTGCACTTTTTGTAAAAAAGAAAATTGAAATATCGAGATTTCAAAGTATCTATAATTTCATCTTATTACCAATAAAATTTTATTTTTAGCGCAGTGTACTTTTCAAAAAAGACTTTTAAAAATCAGAAAAAATTCGAGATTTCTTGCTTTATATGACAATTTTTTAGTTGATTCACGAGGTTTCTGATTTTCTTTTAGTTTAAAGATTTTCTATCAAAATTTTGCACTAAAACATGTAGCAGCAGCAACAGAACCTATCTGAACCTATTTCGATTTTTATCGTATTATTTTACCAAAAAGCATGAAATAAAAATAATTAATTTAGTAACTTTGGGGCAAAAAATGCTGAAACTCAAAAGTTTTTTCTTACAAAGAATGTTTCAAAAATATTTGATAGCAAGAAGATCTTTGTAATAATATATTTCGGCCAGATCCTAGCACGAGAATTGCCCCCCCCCCCCCACCGACATCAAAAAACGCGCATCTAAATAATATTATTTTAATACCAGCTTGGGAACCCAGCGGGACCCAGAGGTGTCATAGTGAGTCCCACTGATCGGACAAACAAACAAGGTAGACAGACAAACACAGAGAATACAAATTTATGTATATCCATACAGTAAGAATGAGACAATATCTGTATATATTTATAATATGGCTGTTTTCCTGTCTAAGGATCCTGTGATGATTTTAACCTCGGAGGAGTCAATGGTGAGGCAGGTGACAGCATCCTTGTGCCCTTCCAGTATACCCTCACAGATACCAGTATCCAGACTCCAGATCTTAACATTTATATACAGATACAGTATACCTTCACAGATACCAGAATCCAGACTCCAGATCTTAACATTTATATACAGATACAGGATACCTTCACAGATACCAGTATCCAGACTCCAGATCTTAAGATTTTTATACAGATACAGTATACCTTCACAGATACCAGTATCCAGACTCCAGATCTTAACATTTTTATACAGATACAGTATACCTTCACAGATACCAGTATCCAGACTCCAGATCTTAACATTTATATACAGATACAGTATACCTTCACAGATACCAGTATCCAGACTCCAGATCTTAACATTTATATAAAGATACAGTATACCTTCACAGATACCAGTATCCAGGATACAAATCCTAACATTATTACCACCTTAACAACCCTTAGGACAATTAAGTAAAATAACGGCCCTCTCTGGAAAGTTTTCGTAAAAATATTCGCGCAATTTAATCTCAGAGGAAAAATTGTCTTCCAATACTTTTTTGGGAAATAAAGTTTTTAACTTAACCACAGGTTCCCTCGACCAATTTAGCATACAAAACATCCCTCACTATATTCCCTGGATGGTTTGTAGGAAAAATTGGTCGAAGTAACCCTTGGAAAAGTAAAAAAAAACTTCCCTGCAGAAAAGTCTTAAATAATTATTTAAACAAAATTAAAGGGACTGGGACGGTCTAAGTAATTATAAGAGGTCCTCTATTTAGAGAGTTGGGGTCTGTCCTAGTATACGATTTTTGGACCCCCGCCCCCCCC